CCACCAGGGAGGGCCTCTCTGTGTACTTTTATTAAAGAAATATTGGGTTGTCAGAAAAAGTCATGACTTTTTTTGTTTTCTTTTTTAAGTATTTATTTACTTACGCATATAGAACTTGGTACAGCCAGAGGTGCAGGGGCAATGAAAGGATTCACCGGAGTCAGAATGGGAAGCAGAACAGGAAGATCACCAAAGTACACTGCTGAGGAGAGCAGCGGGCTAGACAGGAGAGGTCTGCCGCACCATATGGGTCACCTCCAGGCCAGGATTAAACCCTTGAACCCGCACTGAGTGGCTGCAGCTAGCTTGGCAGTGCTGTACTTTAACCCATTGTGTCACCAGGGAGGGCTCCCATTTTTTCTGTTTTCTATGCAAAAATGCATCATGACTTTTCCAACAGTCCAGTAGACTACATTAGTGTTATTTTACCATCTTTTGGGAATCTTTTACTATATTACGAAATAGGTTGGTGTTTGGTTAGGGAGATTTTAGTTGAATTATCAAGAGATCATACTACCTGAGTAGGGCAGGAGAAACTATGAAGTGCAGCCCTATGCTATATGACATCTATGTGAATGAACCAGGGTAGTTGTAGATTGAGTGAGACATACCACTGGAAAAAAGGTGTGAGGGAAGAATCACATTGAATTTTAGGAACAAGTACCTAACTATGATACTTTTTATAGAGTGGTCGCTTATAATATCAATAGTATACTCTGTGTATGTGTGCTGTATATTGACATTTTCATTCATTCTCTAAGGGAAGTTGTCACTTTAATAAAATCAGTTGTGCCTAAGAGGAGGATGGTCAGTGAAAGATATTATAGCATTTTGGAGTCTGTAGTCAAATAGTTTAAGGATGGTTTTTCACTGTGGGAAAAGTAGATTAGGTCTTGAAGCAACCCTATCAATTGATAAGCAGCAAGTGACCTTTTATTCCCAGGGAAGTACTAATCTGTTCTGATAGGAGAGCTGTTTACCCAGAGGAGCAAGCCTTTCAGTTGATAAACTGGCTCTTAAGCATTTCTGCAAACAAAGAGTAAAGTGATTTATTGGCTTGCAGCCTTATCTTCTATAGGATGACCAATCTGTCCCAGTTTGACAGGCACTGAAGAGGCTTTTGGGGGCTTTACATTTTTAAAAAAGGAAAGAAAACAAATTAACTATGTAACTTTGAAAACCAGGCTTAGTAATTTTGAGTGCTTACTTAAAGTAATTTTTCCTTTAAGATTTGGGTTTTTCCCCCCACTGTTATTGCCATAGCACCAAAACATCACATTTATTATTAACTTAAATTAATACTCACTCCTTTTCTGTCTTGACAGAAGTTCTTTAATAACCCATTTATAAGAAAATTGTGGTCCTTTTCACCCATCCCAGAGAGGGGTCTATGGTGGTGTTCTAGGTTTCCATAGTAATTTAAAAGCAAACTTTCATAATGTCCAGTCCCCTGATATTCTGCAAATTAAGGAAGAGGTGGTCCTCAAAAGTCCTTGCAGCAGGAACCTACTGACTAGGTGGCAACAACTTTGACATGCAAATGGAACAATACATCTACAAAAGAAAAGTGATGATACCATCATTAGTCTCAAGAGAACAAGGGAGAAGCTTCAGCTGGCAGCTCATGTCATTGAAAACCTGGCTGATGTCAGTGTCATATAATCCATGAATACTGGCTAGTTTGCTGTGCTAAAGTTTGCTGCTGACATTGGAACACTCCTGTTGATACTGCTTCACTCCTGGAACCTTCACTAACCAGATCCAGGCTGCATCTGGGAGCTGAGAGATCTAGTTACTGATCCCAGGGCAGACCACCAGCTGCTCACAAAAGCATCTTCTGTTAACCTGCCATTGTTCTGTGTCATAGATTCTCCCCTGCACTATATGGACATTGCCATCCCTGCAGTAATAAAGTAGCTGTTTAGGGGGCCTCACGTGGTAGACACTAGTCCCATAAGTACTGTGCATGCTGACAGTACTCATGGGAGATTATGCCTAATCTCTACTTCTGCAAAGATTCTGAAGGTTGAAAAGGAAGAGCAGATTTGCTACTGAAAAGTGTGTGACCAAGAAATTTCAAGATGAATGGACTGCTTCAGCTGCCCTATTTACTACTGTTCAACCCAAGGTCACAGACTAGTCTGAAGACACTCAGGTCCCTGACTAAAGGCAGCAGTGTTTAGCTTGCCTCATGAAGGACACTGCCCATGCCTACACTGCGCCTGTCCTCACCTGACCACCATATATGGCCATGGGCCAAGTCCATCCCACCCATTGGCCCTTTTCCCTTGGCTATTCTTCCGTCCCACCTGGCTCCCCCACCTGATCGCCATCCGGCCAATGGGCACACGACACACCACTCCTGATGCCCCTGATGTACATATAAGCTCAGCTCTGGAATAAAATTTGGCTTCCTGGTAAACAGACTCATGGCATCCGTCCCTCCTTTCCGCCTTTTCCTTTCACCTCAAGATTGAGCTGCAACTCTCTGCTCAAGTCACTGAATGGTTAGGAACAACCACTGAGCAGTATTAAGTTTTCTTCCACAGACTGTGATACAGAAGATGGAAATACAATTGATAGAAAAGTTTTGTCGTTAAATATATGTGTCATATATTAAATAACACTCTCACTCCCACTACCACCATCCCCAAAGATGTTCACATCCTAACCTCTAGAACCTGTGAGTAGGTTACTTTATATGGCCAAGGAGATTTTGCATCAACAATAAAGTTAATGATTTTAAGATGGGGAGATTATAATTACAATAATATAAGATCAGAGGAAGGAGTAATGTCACCATGGAAACAAGGAGAGAAAAGGCTACAAGATGATAGGCCATGAGCCAAGGAATGTGGAGGACCTCTGGAAAAGACAAGAAAATAAGATTCTCCCCAGAATCCTCCCGAAGAAACCAGCCCTGCTCACCACTTAGTTTGCCATTCATTTTGGGCTTCTAATCTCCAGAACTACAAACAAACAAATTTGTGATGTTTTAAGTCCCTAAACTGGTAATTTCTTACAGTTGTAATAGGAAACTAATAAAGTATCTCATAAATATGCAATTGTATCATGCTCCCTTTTGTCATTATTGCTAGTTGCTTTTATGAGCAAAGATTGTCTTGCCTAGCAACAGTTACTAAGTAAGTTAACATGCTAGCATGTAGGAGGAAGCACCTGCTTAAATCTTCCCAGATTCAGTGCCCATATCTTATATAGCAGAGGCATTCAGTACAGTTCTTTTATATTAGGCACATACCCATACATAATAATGGCAAATTATTTAATCTCAACCAGCCTTAACATTGTCCTAAAACCTTGAACCTTTTTCTAGCTTTCTTAAAATTTCTAGCTTTTCTTAAAAGTAACTTTCTGATCCTAAGAATATTTTAACTACATATAGTAAAGGACAACTTAAACTGAATTATGATCAGAAATCCAAACTATGCAAATTTTGTTTGCTGTGCTGTTTGTAATAAAGTAATTCCACCACCCCCTCTTGGTGAAACCTTCAAAAAGATCCATGAATACAAGCCATTTAAGACACGCTTTTATACTCACAAAGATATACTGGGTAAGTTACTTTTTTTCCTTGTTCTAAAATGTCATGGCATATGTCATTCTGTTATATAGACTTTTATCAGCTCTTTCATTACATGTAAATAGGTTAATACTTTTCTTGTTGTGAGACTTTAATGAAATATTGTACCGATTGTAAAGCCTGGCACATAAGAATAAGTGGGATTTTTTTTTTTTAATTTAAAGATTTTTTATTTATGTACACAGAACTGGGGTACAAGCCATAGGTGCAGGGCCAGTGAGAGGATTCACCAGAGACAGAGTGGGAAGCAGAACTGGCAGATCAACCAAGTACACTGCTGAGGGAAGCAGCAGGCTGGTCAGGAGAGGTCTGCCATGCCATGTGGGTCACCTCCAGGGCAGGCGGGGATCCAACTCTCACTGAAGTGGCTGTGCTAGCTTGCAGTGCTGCGTTCTTACCCGTTGCGCCACCAGGGAGGGCCCATAAAAGCAAATTTCTAAACCCTTTTAGTAGAGAAAACCAAGGGGAATCTGGCATCAGAGGAGTTGATCAGTTTGTGCTTCTCATAGTGAGTTGGCCTCATTATTTATTTCAGTAGTCAGAGTTAACTGGGAAAGGAGATGAAGTGGTGCCAAACAGCTGTAGACATCTACCACCTCCATCTTAGGAACTTCAGGGGAAAAGAGTCATTTCTTGTATTCATATGTAAAATCCTAGAAAAGAATCTGTTTGACCAGGCTTGAACAATGCCTAATCCTGGGCCAGTTACTTTGACTGGGAGATGGGGGTAATGTACTGTGTCAAGCATGTTGGCTGCTATAACTGCCAGAACAACCTGAAGTAAGAGAGGGAAGCTCCTGAGATAAATGAATCCTGTTACAAAAGGGAGAGAAGAGATGTTAGGCAGACAAACAAATGTGTCCACAATGTCTTTTCTATGCTTATTGCCAAGCTACGTACCACAAGAGATGCAGTACTACAGTACAAGATGTGCTTGTGATTTTAGAGCATTGATCTCAAGACATAGTAACTAGGAAGATAATAATTCAACAAATCTATGATGTGAGAATTGAATGGAATAAAGAATATGTATTATAGAATTTGGATTGGAGAGAAAAATCAGTCTTTCTTCCATGTGATTTCAGGGCTTAAAGTGCTCATCTTTCAACCCCATACAGGTCTTCAGCCAATTTGACAGCTCACTCTGGTGAAGAAGATAGAGAAAACCTTGTATCTTGCTCAAGTAGCTCAGGTCTTAATAGTGGGTCCAACTGTGACCCTGGACACCTGATATATTGTGGTTCTCTAATCTCTTTGGGCTTTTATTTTCTTGCCTGGGTCACAGGGTATTATGGGAGTATTTTGGGACTTCTATGAGATCAGTGACAGAGAAGTGATAAATCCTTTGCTCATTCAACTTAAGCAGTTAAACCCATTAAAACGTATAAGCTAACAAAAAACATAGCATATTAAAGAAAGCAATCTGCTACACTTTCCTGAAAGGGGTAACACCAGCTTCCAAACAGGATGAGGGAAGGAGGCTCCGAATATCTTTTGAATATTCACTCACTCTTCTACTTTTGGAGTATAAAATGTTCTCCTTTCTACTACTTTACTTCCCCAGTTGCCTACCATGTTAATTGGTTGTCATGAGAACAAGTGACCTAACAGTGCTGTGAGTTCCCACCTAGTCAATTAAAGAAAAAGTTACTTCTTTCATTGATACCTTTAAAGAAAAGACTAATGTCTCCTAACAGGATACATCTCTGATTATTATTAAATAAATACAGAATAGTGTAAAGGAAAACCAAGAAACAGTCTATAGATATTTGTAATCTCTTCTTTCCAAATACAGATATCGGAACAGATATTCTGAATAGAGAAGAGCATTTTCAAGAGCTCTTAACCAAAGAACTTATTGAAAAAGCAGAAGCTGAAATATGGGCTAAGGTAAAATAATTTGGAAATCACTATGGTGATGGCACATGGGTGATTTGGTGATGGGAAACCCAAGGGGATTGCAACTGAGGTGGAAAAATACACAAAAATATGTAAAAATAAACTAATATAAAAAAAAATAATTTGGAAATCAACCTAGATGAATCTTTACAGTTCTCTTAATATTTGGATTTGTCCCAAACAATAGGATTGGGCAGAATTAACTCTGAATCTTGGCTATCTATGGGATCTTGGGCAAGTACTTTATCTCCATGGTCTTGACTTCTTTAAATGTAAGAGTAATAATAATGCTCTCTAGGGTTGTTGAGAGTTCAGTGAAGTAATATGTCCAGTAGACAGAAGGAACTGAGTTAAAAGCGAACATCAGGAACTTCCCTCCTTCTGGATTACCCCACGTATGGATCATTCTTGCTTTCTGCATTCTCACTGGATTCACACATTTTTTCAAAAATTCTTTGTTGGTAATCACTTATTGTTGCTTAATGTTTGATAGCTAGACCATCCGTATGTGTAGGGTGTAATATCTCTTGTAAGTGCCTATTTTTTTCCAAATGCCTCATCCCAACCAGTTAACCTCATCCCTTCAACTTGCTTTACTTCTCTCTGAAGTCCTTGATATTTTGTCTATGATTGCTTAGTTTCATGGGGCAGTTTTAGTGGCGGGGCTCATAGGCTGGTCCCAGATACTTACAGAGAATCTCAATCCTCCAGTACCCACCTTTTGCTGTTACAGATCAAATGCCCTCCTAAAGAGAACTAAACTCTTGGAGCAAGACAAATCACAGTGCTTGAAATGTTATTTCTCAGTTCCCTTATAAAACAGACATCGTGTATCACTTTTCTACCTTTTGGTTAAGATCAAGTTTAAAAGAGACATCATGGCAAGGACTGTTGGAATTGTCTGTTATTCGTGCCAGCAAAAACTTGGTATGAAAGTGCAAAATGCTCCAGTGTCAAAGGTAGTATCTATAAATTATTTAGGTGGTATGTAAATTATACATAATGCATACACATTTATAAATCTTAGTAGTCATTTTTATTAATATATCAATTGTGAAACATTAATTTTACATTTTAAAACAAGGGAATGCTTTTGTGAATCCACAATTTGAATTTCTGTCTAATATTGTAGTCCCTCTTCAAATAAAGTGCAAAGCCTCTTTCTAAAGACTTGATACAGGGGATCTGTGATACTCGGCCTCCTATCTCAGCTCTTTCTAGCTTTGTTCATTTGTGACCTCTATATTTTCCAGATTTTCTGTGATGCACATGTATTACTTTCATAGTTAATCAAGCAAAAAAGAATATGCCAAAGAAAAAAGACAACCCAGCAGCCTACAATAAAGCTTTCTTTAGCAATTCCTGAAGCAGGAATGTTAGCCACGGATTGGGGTGTGTTAGGGTACCTCTGGCAGAGGCAACCAGTTTGCTATGGGAGGTTTGTGATGAGGCCCCAGGTAATTACTAACTTTCAATAAACATGTGAACTTGATACATTAATAATTAAATGAACTCTTTCTTTCAAAGGCTGAAGAGCGCCAAAAACTAGCAGTGGAGAAAGCTCTTGAAGAAGCAAATGACAGACACAAAATTTTCATTAAGATTCTGGAAGAGGAACATCAAAAAAACTTAGAGGTTTTATAGTAGCTTTTATGTTGTCTTTTAAGACTTGTTAGTAAAATGCTATGCAGGGTATCAGTAAAATGATATAATATGCACAATAATTTAGATGGATATTCCACGGAGGTTGGTTGGGAGACCCAAGAGTCTCTCAAAAAGAGACATTGAATCTATAGAAACAAAGTTTAATGGGTGCAGGAGAATCCCATAGCCTTTGGCTATAATGAACCCAAAACTCTACAAGGCTCCAAGACCTGAAGCAATCTTGTCCCTGCTGGCTTGTCTCATGAGATCTCTTGCCACTGACTCTCTTTCCTCCTCTCACAGCCCTTCTTTGGGACCTAGAACCTGAACACACCAGTTTCTTCCTGTGTCCCAGGGTCTTTCTCATAATTCTGTCCTCACTTCATCAGATCTTAAATGTCACTACTACTTAGGGGAACCTTTACCCAACCTGTTCTGCTCTGTCACCCAAGCACTATCCATTTTCACAGCAACTTCACAAGTCACCGTTCTGGTTAAATGTCCACTTGCCACGTGACTGCAGCCCCTGTGAGAGCATGGTGTCTCCTTACCACTCTGGCCCTACTGTCTAGCACAGAGCCTAGGCTCAGAGTGTTCAAAAACAGTGGAAAGATGTATCAGCTAGTCTCTTCCCTCTCCTGGGCTCTCTGATTGCATGGTTTGTCCTAAATTTGTACTTACTGCAGTGCCAAAAACACCTGAGCTGTTTCTCAAATAGTTCCTTCAGGGCCAGAGATCATAAAATAAGAGGAATTCGTTCTAACCTATAACTTGTTCACGCTGTATCAGCTAGATAATTAGCAAACTTTCCAGGCAGTGGCCCAGGGATTCATTATTTAGGTCAGTATCTCGGTACCAAAATATGCCCAAAGGAAAAGGAGACATAACTATTTTCACATGTTGGCCTTGGGAGTGACAGGATGGAACATGGTACAGATATGATGATTTCTGGGCAGAGGCTGGAGGGAAAGTGGCAGAAGTCTGGTGCCAGGTTTGACCTAACTTAATAAGACCATTATTAATAAACAGTTCAAGGACCATGGACTCATTATTCACAGTTTCAGCAATGAATACATATATTAGGTCTGTACTAGAAGATACTAAGTGGACCATTTTTGGGTTCCAAAAATTTGCCAGCTGGAAAGGAAGTGCTACCCCATGGAAGTGGAGCCCTTCCTGGCGGATTCCAGTGACCAACCATCCCTGAAGATTTGGCTGCAATGATCCAATAACCTTCCCCTCTTTTGCATGTGCAAAGCATTTATAGCATATCCTGGCAGCTGTGCTGTTCAACTGGCACGTGCTAGAATAGGCAAGCTTGTTCTTAAAAGTATTGAAATACTTTTCTATCATTTGTTAAATTGCTACTCCCTTAGAACTTAACACTTTGTTCACCCTGGTTGCTTCCTTGAGACCCCTGGACCTCCTTGAATCTGGCAATGTAAAAGGGCAACCCTTTAGATATGTAAGGGATTTGACAGGAGGCTCTTAGAGCTCTGCCAAAATAAGATACACATTTTGAATAATACTCGTGGCATTAGGTTGTGAAGATGCAAGGATAACAACAGATGTGATATCAAAGAACTCACATCCTAGACCTCCATTAAGTAAATTGACTATGCCCCCTGTAACCTTCAGGTACCGTTGAGGTAATTAATGCTAAAACAGAAGAAGTTGTAAGAAATTTAAAAAGAGATTGATCTTTCTCAGTTATTACCTAGAATTTGAGGATTTACATTTATACTGCCATTTCAGGAATTTTTTTGAGATTTATTTATTTATGCATAAAGAAATGTGGTACAGGCCAGAGGAGCAGAGGCAGTGAGAGGCTTCACCAGAGACAGAGTGGGGAGCAGAACAGGCAGATCAACGAAGTACACTGTTGAGGGGAGCAGCGGGCAGGTCAGGAGAGGTCGGCCATGCGGATATCCCCTGGGGCCAGGGATCAAACTTGTACTGAGGCTGCAGCTAGCTTGCAGTGCTGCATCCTGACCTGTTGCACCATCAGGGAGGGCCCTCAGGAATTTTTTTAATGATTTGTCTAAGAAGGATTCATACAGTTACTTAACATAAAGGTTTGAGACATTAATACTGCTTCTTGGAGGGTGTATACAAAACATTTGCTTTAGAATCTCTTCACATGGGAACTTAACATACATATTCCTGAGCCTAATCTGACCATTAGAGTTACTGGCAGGGTTTTCAATCAGCAGCCCTTGTGATCCTCATGATCTCAAGTTTGAGATTATCAGGGCCTCCCTGCTGGCCTAGGAGTTTAAGTCTCAGTGCTATCATCATTATGACCTGAGTTTAAAACCCAGCCAGGGATCTGACCCACATGGCACAGCAGACCTCTCCGCCCTCAACCTATGCTCCCCACAGCAGAGTATTTCAGTAAATCTGTGTTTTCTGCTCTCTGTCTCTGGCGAATCCTCTCACCCTCTGTACCTCAGTTCTTCATACACAAAAAAATCTAAAACTAAAAATATTAAAGTCTGAGATTACCAGCAAATATAGCAGGAAGCCAAGTTCTTTTAGAGCTAAATACTATTCTGATATGTGGAGGCCATCAGGTAATGCTCTTATTTGGTGCTAGCAATTTGTGGTAGGTCTCAGGTGTTTGCTGATCAAAAAGTTTCAAGATCTTATCTAATGGATGTATTTTGAGAAGATATTTATATTATTTTATTCAAATATAGTAATATTAAAAAGTAATATTGAGAAAAGGGAAAGTAACTAGAGGAAAACTAACTAAAGGAAAACTAGAGCAGGAAATATAGTGAAGTCAAGCATGGGTTTACAACTTGAAGCTGTGTGTCTGTCTTGTATGTACGCTTGTGCAATTATCACTAACTGGCAGTCGAGAAAAATGTCATGAGTCAGGACATTGGAAAACTGATATTCCTAAATGCCATACATTGCGAGAAACTTCTTCTGAGGGAGACATTGTATATATTAAGTGTCTGTCAAATATCTGTACAGTAAACATAATGGATTTCATGAGGCTATTTCTTATAACATCTCAAAATATGGGCTGACACACTCAAAATGCATTTCAGTGAATGTAATTTAATTCATAGACTTCTCAGTAAGAATATTACACAACAGTAAGTCACTAAATTCGTTTGATAGCTTTAAATATGTATTCCATCTGCTATGTGAGGCATTAAAATGATTTTAGTTTTATTAGACTATCACATAAAAGAGGAATTGGATTTAATTTTCTGAATCCTAGTTTGCAACTGTGCCAGAATAAGCACCTGGGATGTAATTTTTTAAATATTTAAAAATTATTCAAATAGAACAAAACTTTATATACCTTCATTTTTGTAAAAATTAACACTTAAGTGTATCAATTACTGAGGATATACTTGAAAACCTCAAAATAACTTAAAATATCCCATAAGGGCCCTCTCTGGTGTAGTTCTATGAAGCTAACCACAGCCACTTCAGCATGAATTCAATTCCAAGCCAGGGAGCTGACCCACATGGTGCAGCAGACCTCTCCTGTCTTCCCCCTGCTCCCCTCAGCCAGTGTACTTGGTCACTCAGCCTGTTCTGCTCCCCACTCTGTCTAAGGTGAATCCTCTCACCACCCCGGCCTCTTCAGCTCTGTATGCATAAATAAATCTTTCTCTTAAAATCCTATAAGAAGTTAAACAAAGACCTCTAACTATAAGGTAGAAATTTCGACTTTCAGAAGAATCTCCACTTCCCCACTCAATTTTTATTTATACTTATTTGACAGCCTGAACCCAACAGACATGGTTGCTTGATTTTACAAATCAAAAATAAATTAAATGCCAGAAACCAGAAATGACAAAAAGAAGTTCACAGACATCAGCTACAACAAAGTCCTAGCCTATGACATGTAAAGAACAAGAAAAATTACAAAATTGGATGTCATATCTGAAAGAGCAAAGCACTCAGGGTCATTTTCAACAGAGACAAATAACCCGTGAGCTTACACAATTATGAAGTGCAATATGAAGTATCTAAGCCTATAGTCTTTCATCTTTCTCCATTCACTCTAGATAACCACGAAATGTTAGTGTGTTCTTTTTCCTTTTTATGAAGTAAGGTAAGTGTTCAAGACATTTAGAAATGTTCCTGTTAAAAATATTTTATTGTCAAACAGTACTTTAAGAAACAAACCTTCTGCATGATGGAAAGCCCAGCTAACATTTTTAAACAGCCAATGTTCTTCTAAAATATATTTTCTAACTATCTGAGCCGAGGCCACGCTGGAGAGGTTCTGAAACTTGATTTTTGTTGTCTTTTTTATTTTTTAACTTTTCACCATTGGAGAAGTTGAAAACTTTCCTTCTCAAGCAAAGTCTCACTCTGTCAAACAAGTATTGTGGAAACATTTTCAAAGCTACAGTAATTTCGGTTGAAATTTATTTCAATTCCCCTTAAATCTTGTAGTTCTTTTGATTTTCCTCAGCTTCCATGTAGAATCCTCTCTGGAGGCACTATAAGTTGAGATGCCCCCAGCAGGAGCCTCAAAAGACAGGATGGTAGAATTACTGGCACCTCTTTTCTGACTTGTGTTTCTATTAAAACACTTGTTGCACCATTAGATCATTGGTCTCCTCTGCTGGACAGTGAGCACCTGAGGACAAAGATTCCAGCCTTGTGTTTATAGCATCAGGGACTCAGATTGACTGGCACAGTGAAGGCAATGGGGATTTCCAAAATGATGCCAGGATCTTCACCTCTCGTGGAAGGAGCTTATGAGCTGTAATGCTGAAATGTCAGTGGGGGCTGGCAGGCAGGTTCCTGCAACAGCAGTGATGTTCACCTGTTTGCTGCTTGAGCTTCAGGTTCCCTCCTACCCAGGAGGCATAATCATTATTTCTGTCATATTTCAGGTCTGAGTTCCTGGAGTAAAATCATGTATTTCTATCTATAATATGATACAACAGCATATTTGGACTACTTGGGGAAAAAGACCTTTAATTCTCCCCTGTACCTCAAATATATTTCTTTTGGCATATTGTCTGTACACATACTTATGCTTTTTAGTTTGTAACTTCCTGGTCCATTTAGCATACTATAAATCAAAGTTTAAATAAAATCAAATGTCACACATACTCTTTAAATCATGAATGTTTATAGATACACATTCTATCATGTTTATGAACTATGTTTGTAGTAACTCAATGTGCATTTTTTAAAAAAGATTTATTTATTTACACTTACAGAACTGGGGTACAGGCCAGAGGTGTAGTGGGTGAGAGGATTCACCAGAATCAGAGTGGAGAACATAACAGGCAGATGTACTGAATACACTGCTGAGTGGAGCAGCAGGCAGGTCAGGAGAGGTCTGCCAGGCCATGTGGGTCACCTCCTTGGCCAGGGATCAAACTCATGCTATAGTGGCTTTGAAGAGCTATATAATGCGGTGCTTTAACCCATTGCACCACCACAGAAAGCCCCTTAGTGTGCATTTTTAAACACCAAAGGGGTAACATCTAAACCTAGTTTTGTTGTTGCTTAAGGAAATGGCAGCAAAAACTAAGAAAGAAGTACACCAAGACATGGAAGATGAAATGAAAAGGGAGCACATGGCTGCAGAACAGCGCATGGTCCATAGAATCCAAAGGATCATGATGGAGTGCCACAGGGAAAAGGTTTTAGCTGTGGAGAAAGCCAGGGCTGAAGAAAGACTGATTGCCGAGCAAGCAATTGAGGCCCAGAAAAGGTATACTAGAAAATGCCTTTGCAGATCAATATCTTACTCTATCAAAATCTTCTTGGAGAGAAAGAGATAAGATTGAGGCTAATAGGTGGCATGTTCCATTTTTTGTTTTTTTTACTTTTATTATGACTAATAGAGAATGATACATTAATATAAATCAGTATGTGTGTATGTGTGTATTCCAAGAAAATAATATGAATACTCAAAAGACCTACCACTCTGAACAGAATGAAAATTGCTAGTTCTCAAGCTACAAGGTACTCTTCGTCAGTTACATTTCCTTTCTCTGCCCCTCTCAAGAGATGTGTTACACTAAATAATTGTGTTTTCATTTTGTAACTCCAATTGTAAGAGGCTAGGAGACTAATCAAAAAATATTTTTCAATAAATACATATACTCAATCTTCACATTCTGTAACCTGCACCACAAACTGTTGTTATTGTGTGTAACTTTTTGATCTTTTTCTTTTTTAACATAGTCATGTTGTGACAACATATAGTTGACCTTACAGAAATACATACCATGAAAATTGCCAAGTCTTACCTTGCTGCTCCCCTATTCATCCCTGTCTTGTGGAGACAATCATTTTAAATAATGGAACAGTATACATTTCTGTCCTTTTGTTAAGGGCAGGATGTCCTAAAGGAACTCTGCAGTCTTGTGGGCCCCACCCCCTACTCCAGTGATTGGAAACTAAAACTCCCAGCAGTACCAGGGAGAGAACTGCGAGGATCTGAGGGCGGAGCTAAGCAGGAATTTATACTCCAAAAAAAGTTTCCAAAAATCAGATCATATACATAGATGCTTTTAAGGAATGCCAAGAGGAACCATTTTTATGTATAATATTTAACAGAATTGGCCAAGTTTTACAGGCCAATAGTCTAGTCAAGAGACTTAGCAATGTCCAGGATAAAAAAAAAAAAATCACAATTTTCAGAGGCTGAGGTCACATAGAGATAGCAATAGAATAATGCTGAAATCTCTGTGCTTCACTGGAAGGGTGATGACACCCTTCTCTGACCAATGTGTTTTTGATTGTTAACAGCCAATTCAATTAAAAAACTCACATATATCAGCCTACCTCAAACTGGCCACTCATCATGAATTTTTCATGTTTCTATAGTTAAAGACAAAAATCTTTTGTTTTTAGTGGCTCACCCATCTAACCTACACATTCATATCCATGTTACCTTTTGTAGGAAAGCGATGGAGGAACTTTTGGCCTCTGGCATGACAGTTATTAAGGATCAGAAGAAGAGTTTGAACCAAATGATAAAGGACAAAGAACATGAGATAAACATCTACTACTGCTTGGCTCAGAAAAAGAAGCAAGAAGAGGCTCAGGAAGTGCTTCAAGAAGCAGAGAAAACGCATCAGGCATCACTTGAAAATGTGATGGACAAACTGGTGAACACTGAGGGGGAGCTGCTGTCTATAGCAAAGCAACTGGGAGTTATGACAAATTGGAAAGATTTTTTGGAGGAGGAATTACAGGAAACAAGGGCTGCATTTCAGAAATACATCAATTATACATTTCCTAAGCTTTCTCCAGGACATGCAGATTTTATTATGCCAGAAAGAAAGAAAACACCTGTCAATTTTGCTCAGGAGAATGAGACAACTCATGATTAGAAGGCTTGGGCTGAAATGTCACTACAAAACACATTGTTGCAAAGGCTAAATAAATGCACTCAAAGACCATTTATTGATCCCTGGCTATATGCAGGATGCTATTGGGTTGTGAACATTTTGATGTGTTAAAAAATATTCAAATGCGCATTCTAGGCCAGAGTGAATTCCAAGTCTCAGGAGAAAAAAGAGGAATCAAAACTGATGGCATGATAGGAAACTGAAAAGTATATCTTGCTTTATTCATGTCTATACCACACATAACTGAACTATCTTGGTATTTTTTTTTGTAAAAAGGGACATGGTCTTAGAGTGGTCCCACTATAGAAACATGTGAGAACTTTCAGCACAGAGGTTATAATTTGATAAACTGCAATGGCATAGAGAAAAAAAGCAACTTCCTTCAAGTTCTATAGGACAGATTTTCAATTCTGGGAGGACTACATAAAATAATTCAGAAAGGGCTGTCTTATATTTGCCCACTGTGAATGAAAAACGTTTTTTTGGAGATCATATTCCCTGTCTCAGAAATGGGGAATCTTCAAGTTTATACCCAAGATCAGGAGTACTTTAAACTCATCTCCTCTGAGTCAAAATGCAGAAAATCTGTACTACAGTACTTAGGATACAAGTGAATTTCTACTAAATTAAAATTGTAAGAAAAATCCCAAGGGATAAAACCTTCAAAAAACTAATGAACATTTTTAAGTTATTAGTCACCAACTTATATTGGTGTCTTTAAAATAAAAATGTGGGTGTGATCCATTGCCTCTGAGTTGCATACAATGGTATAAACTGCATAAATTCTAAAGAAGATAGGAATTTCTTTAAAAGCAGAAAGGTTGACGGTATTGAAAACAACACCTCACCTCCATTTGCAGTGTTCCATCCAATGGGCCCTCTCAGCAGTCCCTTGTCATTGGGGTGATAGATTGTCCTAAGGATAGTCCTGATGGATTAAAGAAGAAACAATGAAAAATATAAGAAAAATCTTTTTCATTTATTGGGCCCCACTATGTATGAGATATTGCACCAGTTTTTCCCTTGTCACAAGAAACCCTATAAAATGTTAGTATCTCCGTTTTGAAAATGAAGAAACTAAGGCTCAGAAAAGTAAAAGCCACAAAATAGATCAAGAAGTCCATGAACTTTCCAGTCACCTAATTTAGTGCCTATATAAATATTGAATAGATGTTAAGGATGCATTTCTTTTTTTTTTTTTTTAAGATTATTTATTGATACAGAACTGGGGTACAGGCCAGAGATGCGGAGGGCTCACCAGGGACAGAGTGGGGAGCAGAACAGGAAGATCATCGAAGCACACTGCTGAGGGAAGCAGCGGGCGGGTCAGGAGAGGTCTGCCTCGCCATGTGTATCTCTTCCGGGGCAGGCGGGAATCAACTCATGTTGAAGTGGCTTAAGCTTCTTAGTGCAGTGCTTCAACCCGCTGAGCACGAGGGAGGGCCAAAGGATGCATTTCTTTCAGAACACATGGGGTCTTCTATGAATAATGTTAAATTATTGTAGAGAGCCCTAACTCTTCCAGTGCACAGGGGCTGGAACCAAGAATGAATGTGAACAGAATGGACAACGTCCCTGAAAGCACTTAGGAGCTCTTCTAATGCCAAGCCTCAGGGGGGAGTTTTTGGAGGGACTCCCTCCCACCGTTGGGATGTCAACAAGGACAGATTTTCCCTGACAGTTTTGGAGAGACCAATTCGCTGTAGCTCTAAGGTGAGACTAGAAAGGCTGGGTGTGGAAATGGGGGTGGAGTCTGTTCAGGACATCATTTGCCGACTCAAAGCTTGCTCCTCACTTTTCCTCCAACAGAATAATGGCCTCAGGGACTCAAAGGGCAAAGGGCAATGTTATGGACAGAGAGAGGAAAGAGTGACTGAGTCTGGATAAAGATTCAATAGATGCTTACTATACAACACTCAAAATCTTAGTCTATCATTTTTCATTCCTACAAAAATGAGCCCACAGGGCATACATGATTCAGCATTTCTCACACAGTGCCTATAGACGTTTGTTCTAAGTTTAGAATGTACCAGCATCACTATATTTTGTTTCTTTCATTTTTTTAAGGTTTATTTATTTATTCATACAGAACTGGGGTACAGGTCAGAGATGCAGAGGGTGAGAGGATTCACCAGGGACAGAGTGGGGGGCAGAACAGGCAGATGGATGAAGTACACTGCTGAGGGGAGCAGTGGGCGGGTCAGGAGAGGTCTGCTGCACCATGTGGATCCCCTCCCGGTTGGGGATCGAACTCATGCGGAAGTGGCTTAAGCATCTTTGTGCTGTGCTTTAACCCGCTGCGCCACCAAGGAGGGCATGTCTGTTTCTTTCATTTTTTAGTGTGGGTATGAATGATAGCTTTTCTAAGGCTTATAGAGTTTCAGACATATTGAGTCAATGATGAGTAGATTTTTTTAGTTTAAAAAATTAATTTTATGAAATGCCTACTAATATTTATTTTAAAAGTTCTTTCACCCAAATCCTTTTTCTCTTCCAAACTGAAATATTTTTATTGAGCACAGCTGTAAAGCACTCTGCTGGATTGTGTACTTCTTGAGGGGTTCAGTCATTTGTCTGAACCTTTAAGAACTCAAGTGAAAAGTATGCTTACTAATTTAAAGTACAGAATCACGATAGTTTGAATTAAATGACTACAAAATTGTTTCAGAATTATAAAACATATCTAAAAGAAGTTAAAGCTTATCTTCTGCAAACTCCCTTATAATTTTTAATAAGCCACTTTAAATTATGCTGTGGCATGAACTATTAAAAAAATAATGAAAGTATATCAGAATTGCTAGACTCAGATCCCAGATCAACAGCGCCAGGCTAAACCATGGAGCGAAACCAATGCCCCTGATACCTACCAGAAGTCCCAACAGAATTAGTTCAGAGACAAAACAGGAAAAGACTTTGTTTTCCAGTGATTACAGTATGCTAAAGGCAATAGCTAAGATTGAAACTGGAACATTATAAATAGAGTAGAAACCCACAGATCTCCACAAATTTGCAATTGCTGTTGATCATGCTCCTGGTCTTGGTATTGTTTGAGTTGTAGTATGCTGATTCTAGATTTGGGGTGGAAAAATACATAGCAAGAATAGACAATAAATGTAATAGACAATAAATGTAATGCTGAGCACTATAGTCTTCTCACTATATGTCAGTAGAAATTTAAACAGTGGTCTTAGGCACAAATAGATACAAGAATCAATGACACATAATGAATTTCCAGAATGGATAAATGCATCTATTCATTTATAATTTAGCACCTGGCAAAGTGCCTAAGTACATATGTCACATATATATTCTATATACATGTGTATATATTCACATATTTTCCATATGTACATTTATATATACAGATAGATATGATGATTTATTCACTTAATGGTTTGGGGGCAGTTAGGTAGTCATTAAGGTCAGAAATTATTGAGCATATCTTACATCAAAATATATACTTTTCAAAAGTAAAATAAAACTGCAAACATATTAGTAGAAAACATTTGAGAATACTTAAATAAATCAAATTTAGGAAGGCCTTCTGTATTTTGATACAACACCCAGAAGAAAAAAATATTAATGAAAATGATAAATTAGTCTTTAAATTCTGCTAACCAAAAATCATAAAGTCAAAAAGAAACTACATATATTTTCTACACGAGAAAACAATGTGCATTTCTTATCACAATGAGGTACTTTCTCACTTTTACAAAGAATTTCTAGGAATCTATAATATAAGAAATAGATCAACAGCTTTTAGAATAAGATCAAAAACATAAATAGAAATTGGAAGCAGTATCAAGCAGTATCAAGCATCATTTAAATTTATAGACATTCCAAACACTCAAAATGAATACAAGTTAAAATTACATTGAGAAGCTTTTTCCACCTATTAATGCAAAGACAATAACATTATGAAACTGTCAGTGAAAGCATAAGAAAACATTCTCAGACATTGCAAAGGGAGCATAAGTTAGTACAAAACATGGAATTGAATTTGGTAATGTCGGAATTTAAAAGTGTATATCCTTTAATTAAGCAATTCCCACTTGTAAGAGTGGATCCCACAGATATTCTTACACATGAAAATGTGTGGAACTGATTATTGTTACTAAGACAAAAAAAAAAAAACAAAAACTAGAAATAATCTAAATAGAACTGGTTAGATAAATTTTGACACATCTCTTCAAAGAAATAAGCTTTTATAAAAAAATTATGTGTTGATCAAATATTTCCAAAAATTTCAAGATATATTCATTGAGTGAATTAATACAATGCTGAGTGAAAAGTCAAGATGCAAATTATAGGTATAGTATAATATTACATCACCTAATCATAGCATAGTTTCATATGCATAGTACAATCTATTTATTCACATATTCATCTTCTGAACATCTGCTGTATGTCAGGCATTACACCAGACATTTGGAATATGTTAGTGAGTAGAACTGCGATGATCTTAACCATAATAGAACTTAATGTATTTCTGTGAAGAGACAGGAAGCAAATAACAAATGGGAACAATATAAAACACACAAGAACTGGTAAATTCTTTGGGTAAAAGAAAAAATTGTGCAGGGTCTGGGAAGTGCAGGGGCAGGGGCTGGATGAGGAAGAAGATAATGTGCACTAGTCAGATCAGGCCTTACAAAGGAAGATTTGAATAAAGACTTGAAGGTGAGGGCTTTAGCCGAAAAGTATCTGACAGAAGAATGTTCCAGGCAGTGAGAGACAAGAGTAAAGTCCTAAGGCAGGAATATGTCTGCTTAGTGCTGGAAACAGAGTGAGCTGGAAAGAAAAACAGGAAGAAGATAAGATAATAGGGTGCAGATCAGTTCTGAACTTTTTTTTTTAATATTTATTTATTCATATAGAACTGGGGTACAGAGCAGAAATGGGAGGGTGAGAGGATTCACCAGAGACAGAGTGGGGAGCAGAACTGGCAGATCGACCAAGTACACTGCTGAGGGGAGCAGTGGGCAGGTCAAGAGAGGTCTGCCACACCATGTGGATCTCCTC